ACACACACACACACACACACACACAGACAAGGAAAGATAGGTGTCATGTGAAGGTGATCTAGAAACTAAGGAACAAGAAATGCTACTGACAGGAATTGACACAGACTGGATCGGACTTCCAGCCTCCAAAACTCTTTTGTTTAAACACCCTCCACCCTCCCCTGTGGGATTTCCATTATAGCAGCACCAGAATTTGGGACCAGAGTGTGAGGGTGCTGTGCTAACAGATCCTTAGAATGTGGAAGTGCTTGGGTGGCATTTGGGTATTGGGGAGAGGTGGGTGCTAGATGGTAAGGCCCGAGGTTGTCTTGAAAGAGACTGCCAATAGAACAATGGGCTGCAAGGTGGATTCTGAGGGGTCTGCTAGGACTCGGGGGTGGGTGCCGATTCTATGACCACAAACAGCATGTTGCCAGGACTGTGGATATTAAAGATGCTCCTGGTGAGGCTTAAAAGGAGCATCCTTTTTATACACTGACAAAGAAATTGTCCGAATCATGCTCCAATACTCTGCGGAAGGTGGAAAACTTTCAAGTGAATCATTTGGCTCAGGAGATTTCAAAGTGAAAGCTTGATTCTTTGCTGTGCATGATAAAATGCAGGAAGAAAGCCATTCTAGATTTGGTGATGAACAGTGTAAAATCAAACCAGAACTTCAAGATTTGGAAAATACAGTTGTACAAACTGAGAAAGCATTGCCTGGAACTTCCACTGGGGTATAGCTCAGAGAGCCCCAGAACAGATAGAGTGGGTTACGTGTGGGGCTGTTAGCTGCAGGGTCAGCAGTTCAAAACCACCAGCCACTCCCAGGAGGAAAGCTGAGGCTTTCTAGTACTGCAGAGATTTGGTCTCAGAGACTCTCGAGAACAGTTCTACTCTGGCTTATCGGGTCCCTGTAGTCAGTGGGCACCAAGTCAGCGGCTGTGAGTCTGGTTGCACTCATTTGCTAAAGCGACTCTGCCTCTGACCAATGATAAATTGTATCAACTGCTTGTGACTGATGATAAATTGTATCAACTGCCTGTGACTGATGAATAGTATCAACGGCCTGTGACAGCATCGTGTGAAAGCGGGGGACTGAGGGGGAGAATGAAGGAAAGCCATTCCTCCCCTGGCAATTCAGTTTAGACTTGGATGTGACTTTTAGCCTCCAGGAGTGGGGGAAAAAATCCATTTCTGTTCTTTTGAGGCCAGGAACTGGTGGCCTTCCTTCCTTTTTGCAGACTTTTTATTGTGAATTAGGTGGGGTTTACATCTCAGGTCATCACTTTGACAGTCAACAATTGTACTGACCAAACCTCCCACCGGCTTATCCTGTTCCCCCCCCCCCACCCTTTTGTAGCACACATCACTCATGGCAGTCCATGATAGTGGCACGCGGGCACGAAGGCAACACCGCCACCGCTTCTCCAACACGGGAAAAGTACATGTGGGAAGCCATCTGCTTCCAACAAAATTCAAAATATTCTTTAAAAGGAGGGAGGGAGGAAGTAAGCAGCAAAGAAAAAATCCTATCATTGTGAATGAGGGGGAGTGTGGAGTGGGGCTCCAAAGCCCATCTGTAGGCAACTGGACATCTCTTTACAGAAGGGTCACGTGGAGGAGACGAGCCAGTCAGGGTGCAGTGTAGCAGCAATGAAACATACAACTTTCCTCTAGTTCTTTAATGCTCTCCCACCCTACTATCATGATCCCAATTCTACCTTACAAATCTGGCTAGACCAGAGATGCAAATTGGTACAGATAGGAACTGGAAACACAGGGAATCCAGGATGGATGAACCCCTCAGGACCAGCGGTGAGAGTGGCGATACCGGGAGGGTAGAGTGGAAAGGGGGAAAGGATCTACATATAACCTCCTCCCTGGGGGATGGACAATAGAAAAGTGGGTGAAGGGAGACACTGATCAGTGTAAGACATGAAAAAATAATAATAATATATAATTTATCAAGGGTTCATAAGGGAGGATGCGGGGAGGAAGGGGTAAAAATGAGGAGCTGATACCAAGGGCTCAAATAGAAAGCAAATGTTTTGAGAATGATGATGGCAACAAATGTACAAATGTGCTTGACACAATGGATGGATGGATGGATTGTGATAAGAGTTATATGAGCCCCCAGTAAAATGATTTTTTTTAAAAAGGAAGAAAAATAAAATCTATTCCATCAGTCCCCTCCTCTGCTCTGAATTTCACAGGACCCTGAAACCACTCATCTGAGTCCCCCTAAAGGTGCCTTTGTCAGTCCCCACTCCCCTCCTCCCTGGAACCGCTCACGGCCCAGTCATACTCATTGGAGATTAGAGGTTTGGGCTCCCTGGAGTCATTTCTTGGGCCCTGAAGTCCTAGCCCAGCCACTTCTCGGAGTGGGAGTTAGCCAAGACAGGGGTAATTAGTAGCCAGGGGATAGTGGCAGAGCTATTAATAAACCAACTCTCGTGTGAGCACAAAGGAGACAGGACACTTGCCAAGGTACAGGTAAATGAAAACCAAAACAATAAAAAGGTAAAACAAAACAATAAACAATAAAGCCTTACTGCACCACCTCCCTTGGCTGTGGTCACAACAGAGCCAGGGCCCAGTCCCTGGGGCAAATGAATGGCCCACTCACTGCTGTTGAGTTGATTCCAACCCCGGTGAGAAAGCCTCTAGCGCAGGGCAGAACTGCTCCAGGGGCTTAGGGGGCTGTAAACCTTTGCCAGAGCAGACCTCTCATCCTGGGTCTCATCCTGGTCTCTCGGAGCTCTTGGGTCAGCAGACTGACACTGGACCCTCCGTGCCACCAGAGTTCTTGAAGCAGCTGGACTCAAGTCGCTGTCTGCAGTCGATTCCCACCTGCTAGTGACCTCCGCGACAGAGTAGAACTGGCCTTGAGGAGGAAAACTCTTTATGGGAGTAGAGAGCTTCATCTTTCTCCTTATGGGAAGGTAACTCACGTCCTCAAGGCCAAAAAATGGTCAAAGAGATAGGAAGGTAGGTAGGGGAGAGAGAATAAAACAAAGCTAGAAAACCGGACAATGGGGGCCGCGGTGGAGCAGGGACCCTCATGATGATCAGCCTGCCTCTCTCCCCCAGTTCTCTGCCCTCATTTGGATAAGCTGGCCCAGTAACCTGTTCACTTTGCTCTAAGAGGGGCATTCTCTACCCCCCAATCTGATGTTAAAATACTGGGAAACGAGAGTGAATGACCCTTTACATGGGAACGAACATTCTTTACTGGAGAAACCAAACAAACTAATAAAAAACTTCACTAGGCTCTTATAAATAGTGAGCACCTATCACAGCTTCAGGTATAAATCACCTTATAGACAATGTTTCAGGAATAAACATTACATGCAGCTAGAGACACCTCTGAGAAATAACACACATTAGCTATGTGCTCCACCTCCATTCAGTCATTCCATGCTCATTTTCCTACACGGGTAGGTCCTATTAGCATTCCCATGTAGGAAAGGACATGCTGAGGCATGGAGCGGGCAAACCACCTGGTCAAGGGCCCACACTGATGGAGCAGGAGAGCCGCGATTCAAACCGAGGCAGTGTCATTCCAAAAAGAGCGCTCAAACATCGTGCCCTACTAGCTCTCTTCCAAGGCACATGTGCCCTTGATACCTGGCATTCTGCCCTGGCACAGAGAGGGCACGCTAATCATAGAGAAGCCCCAACCCCAGGATCACATCCAAACCAGCTGCCTCTGCTGCAGTCCAAACTCCAACAGCCTACACTGGTGCTAGGTGAAGGGAAGTGGTCATGAGTCATGAGACTGACAAGGGCATGCCTTCAAGGTCCAGGTTCTGAGGAAGACTTTTTGAAGGTGAGACATTTCCGGGTCTCATGCTGGTAGGGGTTAAGAGTTGGACTGCTAATGATAAATCAGGAGGGAAAATCACCAGCTGCTCGGCGAGAGAAGTGTGGCGCTTTCTACTGCTGTACAGGAGTTATAGACTCAGAGACCCACAGGGGCACTTCTACCCTGTCCTATAGGGTCACCAAGAGTTGGCATCGACTTTTGGGTGTGGAGATATATAGCCACTGAAGTGAGGAGAACTGATTATCGAGGTTCCAAAGGGGGGCCATACAATGTGGTAGCATTCCTTGAAGTTCCTGGAAGCCCTATCTGAGGACCAGGTGCCTGGAATCCTTTGGATTGGGCTCTGCAGTCTATAGTGCTGTTTAAGATGCAGGTCCAAGGGAGTTATGGGCCATGTTGTTTCATCTCCCTGTAAACCCTCGTGCTGTCTCTGTCTAAAAAAATGGCCTGACAATGTTCATCCGGGACCAGGGGAAAGAAGCTGCAGGAATAACAGTCTGCACAGAGCAAAAGCTAAGCCCACGAGAGAGAAAAGTGCCCAAGACACCTAGAGAAGTCAAATGCCAGCGCTGATTCCCTGGGGGCCTGCAGGAATGAGGGCATGCCAGGAAGCACTGGATCCTAACAGTTGGTTCTGCAGGGTGCAGCACCCTCCCAAAATTTAGCCCAGGACACAAAGGGAAACAGGTAACAGTTCCAAAATTAAAATCCAATCTCTGAGTAGATGCCTACTGATGGAGATCCCATGTGTCACGGAGTAGAACTACTCCATTAGGGATCCTTACAGAAGCACCACTGGGTAGTGAGTTCAAACGACTGATAGCAACCCGTTAGCACCACCTGTTAACATTGCAAGCCCCAAGTAATCCCTGCACCCTGCCACTGCTGTGCTCCTTGTGTGCATACTAGTGCTTGGCCGAAATTCCAACAAGCAAGTATGCAGGTATCCCCTGGAGAAAGTGATTCAGTTACAAAAAGCAGTAAAAAACCAGCTGAGTGGCATCAGCAGTGCAGCCTCCACTGAACTGGACATTGTTACGGAGAAAAAATTTCTCCCTGGAGATGCTCAGTTCCCCTATCAAAGGATTCTGTCTCCTTTCCACCAAGCAGCAGAGTCTAGGATTACAACTACACAGTGTTCTCGGAATAAAACCCTGGGAGAGAGCAGCCCCTCCTTATTGCCAGAACTCACAGCATTTTTTCTCGGATGTTCGGAGATTTGGAGTTTTGGTTTCATAGCTGTTGTTCTGTTTTGAAGAAGAGGCAAAATCCAGGGACATGGCAGCTCTTCGGGAGACGTCTGGAAGGACAAAAGGAATGTGAGACGGGACTATTCCTTTGAGAAAAGTCCTGTAGGACAGAAACCTGTGAGAGTTGGAGAACTCATTTTTCTGGGTCTTGAACATTTTCCACCGTTGACAGTGTCCTCCGTAGTCTTACCACTTTTCAGTTGCTCATTTTAGTGGGAAAGGCTTGAGTTTTCCTTCTCTGGCAGGTTTCTGCCTTACGCGGGTACTGGCTTTCGCGGGTTTAACTGTGTGAGTGAACGAACTCTGTGGAGAGTCCATCGGGCCTTTTTCTCAGACTCAGTAGCGATGAAAGCATTTTTGGCTACAGACTATCAGGGACATCCCCATCCCTGTGCTTCCTCCGCTATAAAGAGCTGCTCCAAGCCCTTGCATTTATATGCAGATTTAAGAATGTATCCCACAGAAACTAGCTCCTTCAACCTTTCCAATTATGCCACCATAAGGCCCCCATGAGCGTATCTGTCCGTTTTACGGGTTCAAAAATCGAGGTTAACTGACATTAAGTGGCTAGCCCTTGCTCCTTGCTGACCCACATTTCAAAGTTTTGATAATTTGGGAGGCTAGTGGGGGCCAGGAAGGGATAGATGAAGTGCATTACCAAGAAAGTCATTCCAACCCAATGTAAGATAGCCCTGAAGAAAAAAAAAATTAATGAGAAGTGTGTGGCGGGTGGGGGGGGGGGGGGGGATCTCGACCCGTTCCAAGCAGGAAAACGGTGACAGCTGTAGCACATCACCATTTCCCAGGCGTTCAGAGCCTCCTGTGTTCTTACCCTCAAGCCCTGCCCTGCACCCTGCCCACAGCTATGCCTTGAGTCGCACGCTACAGGAAGACTAGGAAGGGGAAAATGACTTCCACAAGGTCACCTGCAGATCAGGGGTAAATCCTGACTCGACTAGAGGGGAGAGACACCCCAAGCTCACTTCCTAAACCCAGACAACAAAGGAACTCGCGAGGAAGGAAGGCGCTATTGCATCAAGGACCTTGCACGAACTCAGTTGCTCCACGCACCATACAAATCCTCAGCTCACACGACAGCTGCCGCGCCGGGTGCCTAAAGGTGCGCACTCCAAGCGGTGCCCCGGGGCCTGAACTTCCCAAGACGGCGTGGCACCATCCCTCTGCACCTCACCCCACCCATCCAGCCCTTCCCTCCCAGTAGCTGCGCAGCTGCCGCTCACCCTAAGATCTCTCCCAGCAGCAGCCCCGGCGCTTCCCCTTGTGACGCGGCAGACGGGCTGACAGACTGGCCCCCGGCCCGGCAGGCTAATCCCGGGCAAGTCACGTGCCTCTGCCTCGCTCCGCCCATCCCCGCGTAGGGTCCTCACCTGGAGAAACGCATCGGCCAATCACGAAACTGAAGGCTCGAGGGGGCGGGGCTCAAATCTGAATCTCTGACTTTAGCTCCAGCTCAGCTCAGGGTGCAACAATGAAAGGAGAACGAGCACAGGTTAACAAGTTTCCTACCGGTGTAGTGGTTGGTTGGCATCGTTGCCTGGCAACTAACAAGGCTGGGGGGCGGAGTTAGTAAAATATAGTACTTGTCTTCAAAGTCTCGCGAGAATAGACTCTTAAGTATCTGTCTTGAGAAGACTTGACCTCTTGGTGAGGTGAGAATGTTGCAAAGATTAACGCTTTTATGCCTGAATTCCAAGCGGGTCCTTGTTAAACAGTTATATTAGCGTAGAAAGTGCTTTACTATTGTAAGCTACCACGATACTTGAGCTGATACATTGTAGGCAGTTTTTATTACTCCCGCTGCAGGAATCGGTAATATCACTGGATCCAGACACACACTCCTGTGTCTTCTAACCACCTTCTGCCACAAGATACTGTTACTATCGGCTTGTAGAACCAAGGAAGGAAAGTGTTTCAAAACTGAGAAGGCAAAGTGTGAAAGACACAAACGTTTCTCGTAACTTATTCAGCGGCGGAGGCTTTACAAATGGCATGAGTTGGCTAATTCCAAGAGAACGTCCTTGCCAATACTATTGGTAGCTGCCGCAGGTCCCGGCGGTACTTGATTTTATTGATAAGCCCCCTCTGGGCATGGTGAGATTTGCAGCTGTAGGTCAGGGAAAAAAGAAGAGTGAGACTTGATTTCTTGGTAAAGAGATCATTTGGGGGTGTTTTTACTCCTCCTTCACCTGGAAATGAGGAGCCCTGGTGGCGTCATAGTTATGCGTTGGACTGATAACCGTGAGGTCGGCAGTTGGAAACCACCACCACTCCACAGGAGAAAGGCGGGGCTTCTACTCCTGCAAAGTTATGGTCTCGCAAACCCACCAGGACAGTTTCAGCGCTTTAGGGTCACTATGAGTCGAATGGACTCGCTGGCAGTGAACTCTCACCTAGAAATTAAGTCATCCTTCAAAATCGTGTGACCTATTAGTACATCAACCCAGCATTAACCTCAACTTACTGTTTGTAATTAGCCTCACTCTTGCCACATTTGCCTTGCTCTCCCCCCCC